GATTGTGTCTTTGTAGTTGTGTTTGTAGTTGTGTGTTTGTGATTGTGGGTTTGTGATTGTGTTTGTGTTGTGTGTTTGTGGTTGCGCGTTTGTGGTCGTGTGTTTGTGATTGTGTGTTTGTGGATTTTATCTGGCAAGCTATCTGGTTGAGGTCCAGCGGTGCACACTGCTATCGGATCCTTGCGGTTGAGGTCCAGCGGTGCACACTGCCATCGGATCCTTGCGGTTGAGGTCCAGGCGTGCGCACTGCGATCGGATCCTTGCGGTTGAGGTCCAGGGATGCACACTGCGATCGGATCCTTGCGGTTGAGGTCCAGGGGTGCATACTGCGAGGGGATCCTTGCGGTTGAGGTCCAGGGGTGCACACTGCGATCCGGAGCTGGCCAGACAAGATCGGCGAAGCAGATTGGCGAGGAAGGAAGCAAGGAGGAAGGAGGAAGGAGGAGGACGAGGAGGCGGCGGAGGCGGAGGCGGAGGAAGAACAACTGTGATAAAATCCAAAACCCTCACCTGGCAGGTGGGGAACAACCAACCAACCACCGCAAACCAAACAACCCCACGAAAAGTCACGAAAGGAGATTTAACTTTGCATGCTAGGTGAGACGTTGGTGAAACAAAGTCAGTTCGGTTTTTTGCGGTTGGGCAACGAATCTGGGAAGAGCTTCGAAAGATGAACCATATTAGCTGGCAGTCCCGAAGGAGAGAGGCAGAGGGCCTAAAGCTGACCTGCGCATTCTGCACACATGGCGTCCATCCGTGTGAAAAAGCACCACCGCGAGCACCAAAGTTCTTGCCAATCCCAATAGACCCACCTCCACGTGGGACCTTGCTCTCCGGAGTGCTTGCTCAGCTCCATCTGTTTCGCAACAGGGAGTGGCTCTATCTCTGGTGACGACCCGCCGGAGGTGGAGTTGCACTGTTAACCATCGGAAGAACTGGTTCGGCAAGTGTCGGAACAAAATCAACCTCCCTCTTCGCTTCCAACGTTTTGGCTGCTGCGGCAGCCAGGCAGCCTGGCACATGCTTGGAAGGGTCAATAGAAGGTTACAGCGTCGTGGACAGGTGATGGATCACAATACACTGCTCAGGTACAATCATCGACGTGACATTTTGGAGATGCAGCTAGGGATCCTGGAGCAGAACCATAGTGCCATAGTGAAGGAGTTCGCAGGAGAGCGCACATGATGTGCCGTGGTCTGACTGATTTGTCGCCCGATTCACAATCATCGGGTGGACCATAGTTTGAGGAAGAAGAAGAACCAGAAAGTGAAAGCATTGCAACACAGCACCAGGTTGGAGGACCAGGATCTAGCAGTCATGCAGGACAGACCGGTAGAGACGAACAGTTCAGAGAAGATCTTGACGCAGGTGATGGATACTTTACCTCAGCAAGTGTGCCAGGGCGAAGTTTGTTTATGCCCTCAGCAGAACAAGATCAACAGAACGATGAGGAGAACGATGACGAAGAGATCGAGGACAGTGAAACAGAGTCACATAGAAGATTTAGGTACATCTAATCGAGCATTGGAGAAGTGAGCGATCCGGAGTATTGACAAGAGCTACATCATTTCAGTAGCGATGATGATGAAGCAGGCAACTCGAGCAGAGATGATGGCAATTGATTTACAGAATTTCAAATTTACAATACATTTCTTTTGATGTTGGGTTGAGTGGCCTGTGAAACCGTCTGAACCACATGACCATTCAGGACTTGGTCGATTCAATACCGTGAAACCATCTGAACCACGGTACAGGTGCACAACGAATGAATTTGTTTGCAGATGCATGGAATGCAATTTTGATGGACAGATGAAGATACGTGAACCAACTGAACCACGTATCGGAAGGAAAGAATTGGCAAAAGTCATTTGTAGAAATCGTATCAAAGGATACCGGAACGGGAACTAGAAAAAGTAGCAGTACAAAAAGGTAGATGACCTTGTCTGTGATCACCTAGAAGATGGTGATATCTACCTAGCGTGGTGAAACATGACTCACTTCGTCAAGTTTCAAGGCGGGGTGTTAACCATTTTTACATCCCGGTATGCACATAGATGTGACATGTATAGATGTTCTTATCACCTTGTAGCGTTCGTGTTCAAGAGAAAAGGAATTGCCGCCTAACATTTTCGCTAGGAACCAAAGTAGATTCCAAAGCCGCTGCTCCAACCGTGGTAATTAGCACTTCTACATAGAGCCCATGGCACGCCAAAACGGCGAGGGGGGAGGAGTCAAGATTTGTGAAGGGTTGAGGCCCCCTAACTTGGCATGCAGGGTCACATGTACAGTCTAGGTCATCGGTCGTTGACTTCGTCTCACCCGACGCCCGCTTCGCACCCACTGCTTTCGCCTTCGCTCTTTGTGACCCTTGGTTTGCCGTACCGTACTTACTTTGTTCGAGCACTCGCCAACACCACGGGGACTAAGTGTTCCGACACCCCTCGTGCCATCCCCTCCCGTGCATATCTTGCGGTAACCCTTCCCCTTATATAACCGGTTGTGGTGGTTATTCCTTGATATCCCTGAGCACTTATCCGTTTCACCGACATGCCACAAAAGTGTCCTCGTACCTTGCTGACCATCAGGGCTACCGCAGCGAAGTCTTCACAGGTGATTTTCAATACATATTGATAGAGATTTGTATATGATCAACAAAAAATGGTTGATCGACCACAGTTGAACACGTGTACAGAGCCATATAGTGTTTTCATGTGTGCACTGATCATATAGCAACAAAGGAGGTTGCTAGATAAGTTGAGAGGATGTAATGACGTTCATTGCCGTAAAGGACCGTCTGGAGCGCTTCAGGTTCAAAGACGCAGAAAAACATCAGGCATTCGCTGTGTGTGTGTGCTTGTGGAGGGCATTCCATAACTTGAAGCGTGCTGGACGTTAAGCAGCAGTTCTTTTTCATCTCATAGTTTTTTTCTTGCACACGGTCGGTGACGATCAGTTTCAGAACCTGGTCGATTCGAACTTGCACTCAACGAGAACCTTCCCCGCAAAAGGTTTTCGTACATGAGACACCTTGGTTTTCACACACTAACTAATGTGCATCCGGGGTCTCTCGTGCGGGTCTTCGGCGATTGACCCCTTGCAGTTGCCCACTGCACTTGGTCAAGTGTTATTTTTGCAAGAGTTGGGTCCAGACAGCATTGATACGATGCTCCCAACGCCCTCGAAGCTGAATGGACGTAAACTCGAGGGATTTTTTTGCGCAACGTCCACTGAATTGGTTGACATGGTCATGAAGATCCATCCATATATGACTCCGGATTGAGGAGAGACTGCAACTGCTTGCACGTCTCCAGACTTTCAATGGTTAATTTCATGTCACAGGATTGCCACTTGCTTGGGCGGGTAAGGCTTAAGATCAGGGGATCGTTGAAATCCTCGCCATGTCGCTACCTGGGCAGATGAATGCTGCCATGGAGGTCCCAAGTGATCCTGCGCCTTGCATTGCTCCGTCCATCCCGTCATTGAGTACAATTCAAGCCGAAGTGGACCGGATCTCGCACAAGGTGGATGCTGCCAGGATGAAAGAAATCCTGAGCCGTTTTGGTGCCCATTAAACTTAAAGATGCCATGTTCGGTTCTACCTTTACTTATTCTTAGGCCGCAGATTCCACAGGTGACAAAATCATTGTGAACACGTAAACCGCTCATGTTTTCCCGAGGCTACCCATGACGCCGCAGGACAGTAGCTCACGGGACAGAATCGCTTGACATGGGATTGTCATATTTTTTTTGTTTGCCCGCCCTTACTTAATTCGGTAGGCTCCTACTTAATTAAGTAAGAGAGTAAGCTCCTAGGTACTTCCTAGCTACTGGTCGCAGCATAGCGCTTGCACTAATCATTTGATTTCTAGATTTTGAGGGACACTTAACAAGTGCAACTCTGTAGGTTTGTGATTGTTTCCTTGCCCCGTGTTTGTTCTTCTTTTTTATTGGTACTTCTATGTGGCACATGCGATTGCAATGCCGCCATGGAGTTTGATCTTGGCTGAGGCTTGCCTTGCGGAGATTTTAACTTTGAAAACCAAAGGTGGAACAACTTCACAAGCTGTTCGTGGCACCTTCTTCGACACTTATCGACAGAATGAGGAGGCCATGAAGGACGGATCCCACATGCGACAGAGGAGAATAAAAACATGCGGAGCTGCAACTAAAGCCTTTTTGACCAATCTTTCTCAACTGAGGCTTTTTTTGCCTCCAGTGCTGTTCTGGTGCGTATCCACCAAACCTGTTCCGTTTCATTTCATGAAAAATGACTCTCTTTCGTGCATCCAAGTTTAACGGCTGTCTAACAGCCTGCCTCCACTGAACACAGAGGGTTGGAAGAGGTCGCAAATTGCACATGTGTGCAGTAATCTAGCAATCGAGTAGATGTAGTTTCTGTCGCCTTGAGACCGTTTTCTTCCTGCAGGAGTCCTCCAAGGGGTTTCGTCCGCTGGGGACGTTCTTCGCACCGCTGCTGGGATCGCAGGGCGGCGAGAGACGAATTGAGTTTGGTGTATTTGGGGGAGACAGGGTATTTGGGTGCATTTGGTACGACTGAAGGAGGGTTCTTGTGATTCTTATCCAGCTGTGTTGTCTTTATTTCCCTTTTTGGCTCACTAGAAATGTGTAGACCATCGAGAATGATCAGAATGGGCTTTATCATTGTCCCTGTTCTGCTGCGGACTATATATATATAAATCGTCAGTATGCTCAGTGCTGCTTGACGTGTGCTGGAGCTGGTAAGCGTGGTTGATGCACACATGCAGGACAATATGACGTAATTCACGCATCTCTTAATTTCTTCTGGACGGGGCATGGCACACGTATGGCACATTGGTGCTCAACTGCCACTGGTCACCCCTCGCATCAACATTTGTTCATTCTTTCTTTTACTCTCCAACTTCTTTGCGCTTTTCTTCTGTGCTTCGGGCCGCACTCCTTTCTTGTTTCCTCTCATCTAGAACGACGCTCGGTTCGACGCCCGAGGTCGGAAGGTAGCCTGCGCACCGCGGGCGATTCGTCCGACGCCCGGGATGTGCGGGGCAGCCCGAGCTCGGAGGAGTCGCAGCGCGTTCCGCGGCAGTTGGCCGCTCTCCGGCAGAGCTACTCTTCAACGCCGGAGGAGTCGAAGGCACCCAGGATTGCCGTCCGCGCAGGCGCGTCCGCGTCCGCGTTCGCGTGGTCGTGGCACCGGGTTGGAGAGTTTGGTGTCAGTGCCAGGTGCCCGTTAATTTGTGGGAGAAACACATGTGAAAGGACTGGTGTGATCGGACCTGAGGCGGTTTGAAGCGGATTTGGACTTGTTGGATTTGGACTTGGATTGGCGGGTGTCGAGAAAGGCGTGAACGTTCAAGTCTTTGAAACGGTTCTTAAATTCTGTAACGAAGAGTCTTTGAGAAGAGGATCCACATGTTGGAAGCTTGAAAGAGACCAGTTTCTTTCTGGCCGTTGCAGTCCACTGGTACGGTCCAACGACGCGGGGCAAGACCTTCAACACGTCCGGCACGTGGCTCGCGGACGTGTTTAGGTGGTATTGACTTGGAGAGTGCCTGGAAGCTTCATGCAAAGCAGATGTATGAAGGCATTGAAGAGGTGGACTATGTCCAGCCAGTGATGCGGCTAGTGCATCGGACTCGGCACCTTGTTCTCAAAAAGGGAGAGAAGTGGCCGGGTGAGTTTTAGACCCATTCAGAGTGGAACAGAGTGGATGAGCTGGGCGCTTGCCAAACACTTTCCCACCGGCTTTTGGGACGCCTCAAAGTGTCTTGTTTTGGGTTGTTAGGCCAACATGAGGCTTGCCTTTCATGACATTTGAGACCTGGTTTATTCCTTCTCAAACTGGAACGCGACGGCCCGCAGTGCTTAAAGGTGGACGACCACGACATCAGGATACTTAGTAGTACCATGTGGAACTTTTTTCCATTCGTCTTGTGGTTCGAGGGAGCATGGCTTTTGGACTTTACAGTACCCAGTGGCTCCCCAGCCACTCGAGAAAATGCGCTTCGGATATGTCGGATATGTAGATTGTAGGAAAATCGATTGTGGGAAGTGCTGGATCGCAGATTTGTGCTGTCAATTTGAAATCAGGCTCGAGAATCTCTGGGAGTTTTTGGAGGATCCTGACTCCAGTAGATTGGCGTGGTGGACTTGGAACTTCTTGAAGGCACGCAAGGATGCGACAGCCTGGTGTTGCCATGTGGGTGACATGTGGGTGGAGGGCGATAGATTCTCAGGCTGTCAGTTGGAATAGGTCGGGGCATGATCAAAGTGTATCAGCTCGGGGTCCACGAATGAGGTTGTGTCGGAAATCCAAAGAAAAGTGTTGTCCTCTCAGTCTTGAATTTTTGTCCTGGATCTCAAATTTGAGATTGGCCTGTCAATTGTCAGTTTGGACAGTTCGGAGAGGTACAGATTCGGCCTCCCCGATGGTCTTTTTCATACCTCCAGTGTTCCATCGGCTTCCACGTTTTTGCAGCAGAGTCGATCCCCGGCTTTTCGAAGCTGGAAACTCAACCTGTCGGTGGTTCGATTCTTTTGAGATCTAGGTCCGTTCGCCCTTTTGGGCTTTCCAATGTCGAAAAGATCCAGTGATTCCCCCGACCAACCTGGGACACCTTCATTTGATCTCTTCTTCCTCGGTCCTGAAGACGTGATCCACCATGTCGTCGTGATCGACCATGTCGTCACGTGACCCAGCAGTCCATGAGTCACGACCCTTCAACCAGATAAGTCACGACCGTTTCGTTTCCAGGTCTTGGTGGTGATCTCCATGTTGGTGAGCTCCATCGAAGCCGCCGAGACGCCTATGATGAACCTGGTGGCCGTGGCAGTGTGGGAGACCATCTTGGACTCCATCTTTCTCCTGGAGACGATCCTACGGGTGATCTCGAGCCCCTCCAAAAAGGCACCTGGATTAGGATTGGTTCAGTTTGGAGCGTTTGTTTGAACGGACCAGAACTCACTTCAGGTGGGAGCTGGCAACGCTTGTTTGAAAATCCGTGGTTTTTGCATTTTGGGAGTAAAAAGGAGCTCATTCCTGGCTCAGGGATGCTCAGGACTCTTACAGTATTTGCATTCCTACTGCCAACTCCAGGTGGCCTCATTTGTTATATGTTTTCCCCCTGCTTGGCCACCCACATGGGGCATGCCCCTGATTCTCCCGGCCGCGCCTACACGCAACGCCACCATGCATTGAGGCGTATCTGGTGGACTCCCTCAACTGGGCAGATTTGCTAACGGCCTTTGGACTGCCCTTGCGCATCAGCATTGGCTTCGTGATCGATCCCACAGTGCCCAAAGAGGCCGGCTTCATGCTTCGTACGTTGGTTACGCACGGCTTTGTTGGGACCGGGGACCGGTGTCAATCGATCTATTGATGTGTCTATTGATGTGTAAATCTTTCCATCCATCGGCTCATTCAAACACCTGTGAGTATTAGAAAATTTGAATAAACTCATTTGCAACAATTTCTAATAGATTAGATCAAATCATTTCCAACAATATGTAGACAGAGTGGAACATGTTGTGTGGCTCCCTTTGTCATGTACCGGAGAATCCACCGTGTGGATGACTAGGGAGTGGGGAACATAAATTGGTTGTATCGAGGCGGTGGTCGCCAGGACCTCAACAGCTTCTCCTCTTGTCCTTGCTTGCCTGTAAGTTAACACCCAACGGCCGTTGCAATGGGCAGGATGACTATTCTTTGGTTTTGGGGAGGTAGCAACAACCTCCTAGCTGAGTATAAATGAGCAAATGTACACACACACACACATATCACATGTCCCATAAAAAACTTCAACATTTTCACATCTTTTTGATTGAGGCGGCTCAAATGTTGCTCAACAGTTGCAGGAGCTGCCTTCATCACACACCTTTCATTGGGACACCTCGGGCTAAATCTGGAGAAAGGTATGATGGGTTCTCTCCCCCTTCGGAGCGACCGTCGAAGACCAGAGACTGGTGACAACGAGGATTGGAAAGAAACCATTTCAGTGATCCTCTTGCTCTTCCTGCCGTTGGTCCGCTTTTTGAAGCTCCTGCGCTACTTCGAGGAGGGGCTGCCTCGATGCCTCGAAAGAAGCTTCAAAGACATACTAAAAAGCTTCTTGATACTACAGGTGAAACGACTCCCAGTGAAACGATTCCCAAGGAAGCTTCTAGTACAAGAAACTATTGTACAAGCGTCCAGGAGGGCTTCTACTGCGAAGATACAAACACTTTTCTTTCCCGTGAAACAGCTATGGGGTCGGATTTGTTGCAGACGCTTGCAGCCAATCAGTTCGGAAGGCGACCTTAAAGCCCCGCAGGTGAAATCCAAGTCGAACAAAGAATCAACACCGTGTGGGGTCATTGTGGGGTAAAAGAAATGTAACTGTAACTATTCCATACATGGATGGTCTGGGAAAATGGCATCCTTGTCCTTGTCTTTCGCCGTTGTCCTGTCCCGAAAGGCCTTGCGGCTCCTGATCGACGCCTTCGTGAACTCCGCAGAGAGCTTGCCGGTCTTGGCCTACATCTTGTCCCTCATCGTGGCGTTCGGGTCCACCTTCATCTACCTCTTTGAGGTGTTTGGCTCCAAAGGGAACAAGACATGTTTGGGAACAATCATCAAGCATTTGATGAGTAACTCAAGAACATGAAAGCCTCCTTTTCACACCCGTTTTCCGATGCCATCACCTCCTTTTCCACCGAGCCCACCTTTGGATCGGATCCCACCTCAGCTGAAGCAACGAGTCCCGAGTTCTCAAGGAGCGGAGCAACATTCCCAGCCTCCAACATTCCACGTGGCTGGCCATCGTCACGATGACGTCGGTGGGGTACGGTGACTTATTTCCCACGACGCTGGAAGGCCTCCACGACACCGCTGGTATGCGGTCTGAGCGCTGTTTTGCGAAAGAAAAGAGCAACTGAGTGGTCTGTGGTATTTGAACCAATTGGCGTTTCTTGTCGAATTTTATTTGACTCCATTGAGACACCCATCGCCTTGGGCAGGCTATATCACCGTGTCCTTGCTGACGTTCACCAGCGTCCTCTTTGTTGCGCTGCCTATTGGAATCATCGGCTATGAGTTCACGAACAGTTGGCAGAACCGCGTCAAAGTGACTTGGCGACTCCAGGAAGCACCCGAGAAAAGCTAGATTGGACAACAACCAATTGAAAAGAAACGTCTTGGGCGTACTTTCTAACCGATTTTCTTTGTCCAAGATCAAACACATGCAGAAGCGTTCTTTTTGTTGTTGCTTTTTTTCACAACAAAATTGATTTGTCCAAGCTCAGAAATGAACAGGATTGCTTTGGGACAGGAGGAAAATCGTAGATGGGAAATCATTTCAGATTAAAATGGATTGGACATGATTTGACATTTGTTTTTCACGAAGCTCACCCATGGACAGATTTGCCTTTTCCAAGCCCAACATTGAACAGAATTGCTTTGGCCAAGCAAGACAAAACAGGATTGCTTTGAAATAATGGGATTAGAATTCATCTTAGTTTTAATTCGCGAATAGTAGCAATGGATTCTGGTAGGAGGGTAAGGAGTCCAGGAAATCATTGCAATTCGACGTAGATTTGACTTGACTTCAATTTTACAGTTCCACAAAGCTCAACGATGAACAGATTCGCTTTGTCCAAACTCAAGAATGAGCAGACTTGTTGTGACTTGTCCAAGTTACACCATGAACAGATTTGCCAAGCTAAAGCATAAACAATATTAAACAATAACCAAATTGCTCTGTTTGAGCAGGGTTCTCTTTTGTCCAACCGCAGGACTTTCGTCCTGGAGCTGAGAAAGGATCAAAATGGCTTGGTCGAAGCTAAGGAATCAACAGAAAACCGATAGATTGAATGCAATTCTAATCCATGTCAAATTGGTTATTGCATTGCTCCATATTTAAGATTGCTCCATATTTAAGAGAGATGCAGGGGATTGCAGGATTACTGGATTGAGTGAAAACCCCCTGGGAAAACATTCGGATCCCTTCCCAACAGACTTAAGAGTGGATCCCTTCCTCCGTGCAGGCTGTATGCGCGCGCCCCGCCCCCTGAGTCCCTGAGGTGCTTCTCATCAACAAGACGCGGAAATGTCTGGAAAAGTGGGGTTACTCTGCTCGGGATGTGAAGGTCTTGTTCGACTATGTGGATGTGGATGGGGATGGAAGCCTGAACCTCTCGGAGTTCATCGAGCTCATACGACAGATGCGCATTGGGAGACTCGGAAAAAGGCAGGCGTACTTGTGTCCATTTCAGTGAAAGTATAAAGTTGCACTGGCATAGTGTGCCCCGCTCGAACTCGAACTCGAACTCGAACTGAAACAGTTATATATACTTATTGATGAACTTAACCGACTTAACCCTGAAAGGATATATGGAAGGAACCGAACTCGAACTCGAAATCGATCTCGAACTGAAACAGTTATACTTATTGATGAACTCAACCCTGAAAGGATATATGGAAGGAACCGAACTCGAACTCGATCTCGAACTCGAACTGGAACTGTTAGAAGTCAACCCGGTGGACGAATAGAAAGAGTCGAACTCCAAAATCGCTGTCGTCGATTCGAATTCGAATTCGAACTCGAACTCGAACTGGTCCCCCCCCCTCCGGGCATTGGCATCAAAATTGTCGTCGATTGGGATTCGAGTTCGAACTCGAACTTGAACTGGTTCCCCCCCCCGGGGAAAAAAATTGTCGTCGATTCGAATTCAAATTCCAACTAATGCTGCGTTGTAATGGCTCCTTCCTATTCTAAATTTCACCCTCGAATGGCCCACAACAGGAATGCTACGTTGTAATATAATGGCTCCTTCCTGCTCTAAATTTTACCCTTGGGTGGCCCACAAAAGGCATGCTACGTTGCAATGGCTTCTTCCTTTTC